CTTGGGGGAGGGGAGCTCGTGTCCCACACGCGCTGGGGCCCTAGGGAGGCGGAGGCGGGGAAGGAACGGAGATAGCACAGCTGGCCTAGGGTGGCGCTTCCCCTCCCCCGCTGTGACGTCTTCCCAGGCCTGGGATCCGAGGCGCAGCTCCTCCCGCTTTGTTCTTCAAAGAGCTGGCTGGCTTCCTGGGACCCCCTGGGTCCTGGGAAGGCGGGGGCGGGGACGGGCACGGGGGCAGTTCCCGGAGGATTGAGACCTGGGGGTTGGGGGTGGGGAAGTAGGAGGCCCAGACCCCTGGGCCAAGGGAAGAATCAGGAGAGAAGACCTCTGTAGAGCCCCAAACAAAACAGGCAATAATCCCTGGCCTTCTGGGGCACAGGTTCTTGGAAAAACAGTCATAGGTACATTATACTAAATTTATCATTTGTCAGTTGGTGATAAGAGCTAAAGAGCTAAGTGTAGCAAGAAAGCGGAGTGGAGATTGGGAATTGTGACTTTAAGGCTAAGATCAGGGAAGGACTCACTGAGAAGGTGAAATATAAAGAGGTGAGGCCAAAAAAAAAGCACGTTGCTTTCCAAATACGAAAAAAAAAAAAAAAGGTTGCTTTTTCAGATACAAAAATAAAGGGTGAGGCCACATGCTACAGGGCCACCTGAGGGAAGAGCATTCCAGTCAGATGGACAGGCTGACTAGGACAACCTGCCGGGCTTGTCAAAGGAACAGAGAGCAGCAGGGGGCAGAGTGGGGTTGTCTGGAGTGGAGGTAGCAAGTGCAGGAGTTGTAGGAGGTCAGATCAGAGCCACAAAGTGGGAGGCTGATTATGTAGAACCTTCTAGCCCATTGCAAGTACTTTGTCATCTCAATGTAATGTGAAGCCTTTGGAGGACTTTCCCCCCCTTTTTTGTTTTGTTTTTGGAAATTTTAATTTTTATATAATTTCAAACTTTCAGAAAAAATACAAAAATCATACAAGGATTATACATCAACTATACTTCAATTAAAAAAAATAGAATACAAGGAACTCTTGTATATGCTCTTCCCAGGTCTATTAATTGTTTACATCTGTTTCATTTGCTTTTTCATTTCCCTCCAAATATAATATAGGTATAAAATATTTGTTTTCTGAATCCTTTGGGGGTAAATAAAAAATATCAAGTCCTTTTGCTTGTTGTTACTCAGTATGTTTTATGAGGACAGGACATTCGTGGTATAATAGTACAGCTATCAATATCAGGATATTAAAATAAACATAATACCATTATTTAATGCCAGTCCATACTTACATTTCCTCAAATGTTTCAGTGGTATCTTTTATAACCCCTTTTTCCCAGTTCAGGCTTCTACACTGCATTTAGTTGTTATGGCTCTTCAGTTTCACTTAATCCAGAAAATTCTTGATCTTTAGTTTCTTAATATAATCCTGGAATTCTTTTTTTTTTTTAGTTCTACCAGTTTATTGCTACCAACCCATCTCCCTCCACCCTCATGCACACATGCTCAGTCATGTAACCCCATGGACTTCAGCCCGCAAGACTCCTCTGTCCGTGGATTTTTCCAGGCAAGAATACTGGAGTGGGTTGCCATTTCCTTCTCCTAATCCTGGAATTCTTTAAAAATTTTATTGAAGTATAATCTACAATGTTGTGTTAATTTCTGCTCTACATCAAAGTGTCTCAGTGATACGTATTTTTTCATGTTCTTTTCCATTATCATTTATCACAGGATATTGAATGTGGTTTTGTGCTGTTACAGTAGGACCTTGCTGTTAATCCATCCTACATATAATAGTTTGCATCTACTAATCCCAACATTCCAATCCTTCCCTCCCGACTCCTCCTCCCCCTTGGCAACCAAGTCTGTTTTCTCTGTCTGTGAGTTTCTGTTTCATAGGTTTGTTCATTTGCATTGTATTTTAGATTCCATATATAAGTGATGATATATGGTATTACTATTTGTCTTTCTCTTTCTGACTTACTTGACTTAGTATGATAACCAGTAGGTCCATCCATGTTGCTGCAAGTGGCATTATTTCCTTTTTTGATGGCTGAGTAATATCCCATTGGATATGTACACATCTTCATTATCCATTCATCTGTTGATAGACATTTTTGTTGTTTCCATGTCCTGGCTATTACAAGTAGTGCTGCTATGAACATAGAGGAGCATGTATATTTTCAAATTATAGTTTTTTCTGAATAAATGCCCAGAATAGGGATTGTAGGATCATGTGGTAACTCTATTTTTAGTTTTTAAAGGAACCTTTTTACTCTTCTCCATAGTGGCTGTAATTGACATTTCCACCAGCAGTGTAGGGAGGTTACTTTTTATTCACACTGCCTTCAGCATTTATTATTTGTCGACATTTTGTTGATGGCCAGAGTGAGGAGATACCTCATTATCATTTTGATATGCATATCTATAATAATTTGTGATATTGAGCATTTTTTCATGTGCCATTTGGCCATCTGTATGTCTTCTCTGGAGAAATGCCTGTTTAGATCTTCTACCCATTTTTTTGCTTTTTTTTTTTCCTAAATACTGAACCATATGAGCTATTTGTATATTTTGGAAATCAGTCCCTTGTTGGTTGCATCCTTTACAGAGATTTGTCCTGTTCTGTAGGCTATCTTTTTGTTTATGGTTTCTTGTGCTGTGCAAAAGCTTTTAATTAGGTCCCATTTGTTTGTTTTTGTTTTTATTTCCATTACTCTAGGAGAGGAGTCCAAAAAAGATATTGCTGCAATTTATGTCAAAGAGTGTTCTGCCTATGTTTTCCTCTAGGAGTCTTAGAGTCTCTGTTCTTACATTTAGGTCTTTAATCTAATTTGAGTTTATTTTTGTAGATGGTGTTAGAGAATGTTCTAATTTCATTATTTTACATGTAGCTGTCCAGTTTTCCCAGCACCACTTATTGAAGCACTTTTTTTCCACTGTGCATTCTTACCTCCTTTGTTGTAGATTAATTGACGTAGGTGGGTGGGTTTATTTCTGGGCTTTCTGTTCCTATTCCATTGATCTATCTGTTGGTTTTTGTGCCAGTACCATATTGTTTTAATTACCGAATGCCTTTTTAACACAGTGACATGGGAAGTAAAACAGGAGGAGGCTGATGGGATTCCTGAGAAGAGTCGGAGGGTGAATGGATAGGGAAATATGATATGATTGCTAATAGCACCGAGGAACCACCTGAGTTTGGAGTTACGAATTCAAATTGGCAGTTAACAGGTTTTTGCAGGACAGAACCTTTGGAGGAGTAGAAGCAGGAGTCTGAGGCCCGCAAGAGAGCGCTCGCGGGCAGATACTGGAATCCCCTAGAGACTCAGAATAAAACTGGAAACAGCACTAGAAAAATTAATTGCTTCCTTCACCGGAGGTGGCAGTAACATCTGTCCCCAAAAGTACTGACGCTGTGAGCAGGATTCGAACCTGCGCGGGGAGACCCCATTGGATTTCGAGTCCAACGCCTTAACCACTCGGCCATCACAGCCGATTGCGGCCCTGGACCTGCGCAACTATAGCTGCCTATCAACACGCCCGTCTCCAGCGAGCACCGCCCTGCTGTCTTGATATGGCAGTGCGCATGCGCCTGTGAGGCAACGGAAGATGCAGCTTTCCGGTCCTTCCTTCCTAACCCAAGACATCATGCAAAACGAGCCCAAATCTGAGTCAACATTCGCATATCCTTGTAGGCGGACAAAGGGAGGCCGCTAAACCATGGTTCATGAAAGCTAGAGTTGGCCTCCAAATTTGCATTAAAAGTGCACAGGGATGGAAACTCAAATGGCAACGAAGGGGCTAGATAAGAATAATCATCTTTGGTAAGCTGCAGTAGAGATGGTGGGGGGTGGGGGAGTCCCCTTGGAACTGTGGAAACGTGTTCCTTTTGCAGCAATAATATACTGTAGTCAACTGCCCGAGGCACCGCTGGGATTCGAACCCAGGATCTCCTGTTTACTAGACAGGCGCTTTAACCAGCTAAGCCACGGCGCCGGCAAAGACTCTGTTGCTTCTAGATATACATCAGCTGTTCATGAGGGGGCACTAACCGAGAAATAACCGTGACAAAGCTTGCCATCAATCTCCAATCATTCATCCTTTCCAAGGTTCTCTCCTTTGCAAGTTCTAAGCCGGACCGTTAACACTCTGCACCAGCTTCCCTTCTCCCACACCGCTGGGATATCAACTCGACTATGAATGACTGCGGGTCTCCGTGTCTTAGCCACCTAGACCTGCCTTCTCATTGGGAAAGGGTGTGGGGAGAAGAGGGATGTGGGTCCTCAGGGGAGGGAATAACTCATTCTCACTACACTACTACTTTCCAGGAAGTGGGGGGCACACCTCCCCACAAAGAGCCTCCCCCCCCGGGGGGGAACCCAACCCCCAAACTTCATTCCACAAAGACCTGGTATTTTTTTCCTTTTTGTATTAAAAATAACAGACACGATATCAAAAACACAAATGCCATCGGTAGAGGGTACAGCTGAGAACACCTGGGTCCCACCTGAGGGGCAGCACCAGGGACTCCATGGTCCACCAACCTCCCCCACCCTGGAGCAGCTAGGGGTTTGGACCGCAGGGTCCTGCTTGGGCCTCACACCCTCCTCCTGCCCTCATCTGGGGAGGAGGTGGGGGAGAGGGCTGACTCCCCCAATAAATAAATGCAGCCCCAATCCCCAGGGACAGGGACTCCGGCTCAGCTGGGACTTGGAGAGACCACTTCAGCAGCTTGTCAGCAACCTTGTCCAGGAAATGGAACGACTCCTCACCGGGGACGTGATTGGAGGCTTCTCTGGGCTGGGCTGGGCTGAAGAATGCCACCCTCTGTTCCCAAAGAGGCCAGAGGCAGCCCCTGGGTCCTGGGCTGGTGATGGGGCCCCGCCCCCCTACAGCAGGAGAAGCTGGAGCAGTTCTCTTACTGGTTGGTCCAGCCACATCTGAGTTCTGAGGCATGAGAGAAGGAAGTTTCTCATGCACACCTGGAGGTGGCCCCAAATGGAGTCTAGCTGGTGCCATTTTCTGTGGCAGGTAAGGCTGGACTGGGTGAGCTCCCACCTTGCTCCTCCTCTTCCATGGCCAGGTCCTGAGAGCTCGAGACTCTGGCCCCAGCTTGGGCCTGGGCCTCATCGCTGCCCTCACCCTCACCACCACCACCACCACCCTCGCCTCCGCCCTCCTCCATGGGCTCCAGCCCCAGTCCATCCACTTCTGAGAAGAGAGGGTCATCAGGATGGCCATGCTCTTGGGTGCTGCTGCCGCAGTCCACACAGGCCTTGAAAGAAGAAAGGGTATGGGTGAGTCAGGCAGATTCTCAGTGCTGACCTGCCAACCCAGCTCCCCTTGTCCCCAAGCCCCAGAGTACTTTCGAAAATGTATGCCTAGGAAATACTAATTCAGGCGGATGCACATGGGGTCAAGAAGATTGGAAAATGTGTCACATCCTGTCTCCGGACCCCACTGCAGGACAGCCACAATGTACATTAGTACAGGACTGGGCCAGAAAAGGTCCACAAAACTCATGTGGTTTAACTCTAAATAAGCCAGCACCAAGCTCAGTGGAATTAACATCCTTCAGAATGAATGATGCAAGGAACAGTGACGGGATCAGCCCTTAGTCTCTGTCCTTTCAACTTGAGCTCAATTCTTTCTTCACCCTCCTGGCCTGGACTTCTCCTCTCACCATCACATCAAGGGCCCGAGGCAGTTGACCTTTCCGGACCCAGGAGTGCACAGCACCCAGTTCCCTCCGCTGGTCCTCCGAGAACCGAGGCTGCTGCTTCTGCATGGCCCGGAGCCGCTCCCGGTCCTGCTTCAGCACAGAGGCCATGTCCCTGCTCCGGGAAGAGGTTCAGGAGGCAGAGAATGGGAACTGGGGCCAGGGCCCACAAGGAAGCTGGCACTTTTCTTCTATCGCAGCTCCCCACTCAGTGCCTCGTGCTTCTCCCCAGAACGGTGTTCTGAGACTTCAGGCCTTCCCAAGACCAGGAAAGCTACTCTCAGCCTGACTATTGCTGGGGCTCCAAGGGGCAAGAGACAGAACAGAAATGCCCCAGGGCAGAGGCAGGCCCAGAAAGAAAACCCCAAGTTAGCCAGGGAGTGAGGGGGCAGCCTCCCCACTCTTCCGCAAGGCGAGGCAAGGAGTGCTCCCAAAGTCCTCACCTGGAGGGCACCTGATAAGTCATCATGACACGCTGGTCAGCATTGGCCATGAGCAGCCAGATGGGATCCTGGAGCACGTACTTAATGACCTGGTCCCCAGGCTCAGCTCTGGCCTGGGCAGCCCCAGCCTCAGCCTCTGAAGAATCGATGCTGCCAAAGTACTTGCTTGTGTGGCTGCTTTGACTGCTGCCTGTAGAGTGAGAGGCAAGCAGCCAACAGAGTCAGGTTAGCAGGTGCTCCACCAGACCTCATTCAAGGTCGCAGGTCCACCCACTGGCCTTAGAAAGCAGTGCAGGGACCCAGGCCACTCAGCCAAGGTGGGACCTGGCTTCCCAACTCCCCAGACACTGACCTACCCTAGAAAGTACTGTGGGGGGCACTCACGTGTGATGCTGGCGGAAGTGCTGCCCCCCTCATGGGAGCCTGAACCAGAGCCCAAGCCGGAGCCCAAGGAGCCCGAGGCAGCAGAGCCCGTGCCAGATCGAGAGTCCTCTTGCAGCAGCAACTCCAGCAGGTCACTGGAGCCCGAGAGAGCATCCTGGTTGGAGGACTCAGTTACCTCCGCCTGGGGGAGGGGAGGCGAGGGGGACAGGAAGGGATTAAGGAATCAACACCTAGGCTTCCCTTTTACTGCTGCCACTGGCTGGGGGCACACCCAGCCCAAGTGGTCTCTTCCCACTCCACGACACTGGGCCCATGCTGAGTGAGAGGAGAGCTGGCGAAGAGGAGGGACGTGACGCTGGACCCCTTCCAAGTGGCAGACGCACTCTCAGAAGTTTATGGGGATGTCCTCGCCACCTGTCAGACAGACAGGACTGTCCCCACTTCACAGATGAGGCAGCTGATTTCTGCCTTGTTCAGAAACTCAGCTGGGGTCTCCCACCCTATGACCCCATCCTCTGGGGACAACCAGGAGGGCAGGAAGAAGCGTGAGAGGGGAGGACCGGGCGGTGGGGTGGGGGAGAGGGCCGTGCGGGGGCCCTAAGAGGACGGGGGCCCAAAGAGGGTGGGGGGAACCGGGTCAGAGCTCACCAGTCTGGCCTCTGGTTCAGCCTCGCTGGGAGGGGGGGGTCCAGCACTGCTCCCAGAGCCCCCTGCCGCTGCACCCCCCTCACTGCGAGGGGGCTCCTCGAGCTGCAGCAGGTTTAGCTGGAGTGGGGAGCTGCATCTTGAGTTGAAGAGCGGAGAGTCGGGGTGGTGGGGAGGGCTGGGGGGCAGCGGGGGCAGGGATGGAGAAGGAGAGTGGGAGGCGGGGGTCGGAGGCCCCTCAGCAGGCATCTGGGGTGCCCCGTAGGGATAGGTGGATGGGGTAGGGAACAGATAGTTAGGGAGCACCAAGGCCACCATGGGGGTTACCAGGGGGGCAGGGAAAGCTGCAGGAGGCACAGACGTGGGAGCAGGAGGGAGAGGCTGAGGGCCGCCTCTCGGAGGGAACACGGAGAGGGGGTATGGCTGGACCACAGCTGGGAAGGGAGGAGTGGCTGGTGGCGGGGGCCACGGGGCAGAGGGTGGCACAGGCGAGGGCTGGGAAATGTAGGCGGGGGCTTCGGCCCGAGCTGTCTGGTGGTGACGTGAGCGCTTGGCTTTGGATCGGCAGTGGTGGCGGCGGCCGGGGGTGGCAGGGCTGTGGTGGCAGCCTGAAGGGAGAAATGAGGGTTAGCAAGGCCCTCAGCCTGGGGGTTAGGCCCCTGCCGCCCCCACTGCCCTGCTGCTCTGACCAGGGAGAGGGGAGGTGAAGGACCTCTGGCTCCCCGGCCCACACATAACAGAGGGGACTCAGGGAGCCTTCAGGGAAGAATCATGGTGACAGGGGAGGATTTACAGGCAAAGGAGCCAGGGAAAGGAAAGGTTACATGAGGGGTCGTGCTGGGGGTGTGCAGAAGATAGAGGCATGCTGGCAGACAGGAGGAGGCAGGGTAGGTCCATGGATGAGTGGGCAGGTGGCTCCGATCCCTCCGCCAAACTCCAGCAGGTGCTGCCAGCCTGGGTGATCCTCCTGCCAGTTGGGCCGTGCTCTGCCTAGCTCACGACGGAGCGAAGAGGTGGGCAAGAAAGCCCAGTCCTGAGGCCTTTAGGGAGCCTCCCACAAGCACCTGGAGGGCAGCCAGCTGCCCCCGAAGCACTGATCCTCTGCCCCATGAAGTTGCCCCAATTCTCCCAGCCAGCCTACATAGACCTCCCAATCAGCAACAACGGAGTCCTGAGTGGGCACATTTCCTGCCCCTACACTGGGCCTGGAGCGGCTTACCTGAAGCAGAGCGCCTCGGCCTGCCTCTGAGTGCAGCTCCCCACGCTGCCCTCCTCGGGTGGCAGCCCAGGCCCCCACCCTAGTGGGGAGGGGCTGGCGAGGGCCCTGTCCCTGGGCAGGGCCCTGGTGGTGGAGGCAGCAACAGCCTGGGTCCCTGGAGCAGAAGCGTCTCCCTCAAGAACTCCCTCCCCCGACATTCTGGTCCTTGACCGGGCAGCAGGCAGGCTCAGGGGCTTCCCAGGTGGCTACCTCGATCCCCAGGGGCTGAGGGGGCTGTGGAGGAGCTGTCCAGTCCATGCAGCCTGCTGAAGTCGCGGAAGCGGCTGAGGAAGGCCTGCTCCTCCTTCTGAGTGTGCAGGGACAGCACGGCCTTGGTCAGGCCCACTGGGCGGTAGGCGTCTGGGGCTGGCTCAGGGGCTACCGTGGGGCTGGGGGCTGGGCTGGGGGCTGGACCGGGAGGCAGGCTGGGCACGTCCTCCATCATGATGATATCTGAGGAGGATGAGATGAGAGAAAGGTCAGGAACACCTCACGATTAGCACACCTGCACCAACCCCTCCACGTCCAACAGCTTAGCCAAACCCCCGGCCTCCACCCTGCGACCAAGCCTGGGAGTCCCCTGCAAATCCTGGCCACCTCCCCCCAAGGACCAGCTCTAGGGAGCTCCACACAAAGGTGTCTCAGGGTAATAAGAAAGGACACTCGGTCCCCTCCAGGGGCCTTACCCAAGGATGATACCCCCATGACCCTCCTCGGAAGGGAAGCCTACCCCCACTCTCTCCTCATGCATTTTCCAGATCAATGCCCAAAGACCCTTCAAGGGTTTTTCAACAGTCCTTGCCTTCAGACCCTCTGTGGGCAGCACCTTAGGTTGAACCCTGCACCCCAGACCGTGTGTGTGAATTGACAGTAAGAACACAAGAAGCAAGGTGGAGGACAGACAAGGCAGCAAAGGCTGGCAGGCGAGCAGAGAGTGACAAATGCTAAGAGGGAGGCCATTCAGGGCCTCCATTCAGGGCCAGAGGGCAGGAGAGGGCAAGGAAGGAGGGGGCTCTGGCTGAGACCAGATGGGGCCCCGGTTCTGTGCCCCCAGCCACACCCATACCCGACTCCGGGGGCTTCTTGTCTCCCACATGGACGATGGTGGAGCTGAAGCTACACTGACTGGTGACGGACACCACACTCTCCGCCTTATTGGCCAGGGCGAGCGGGCTCAGGGCTCCTCCTCCCGCCACTGGCTCCTTCAGAGGGGTGGCCCTCTCCCCGGGCAGCACTGCTGATGCATCTGTGCAGAGAGATGGTGCCAGTTACCACCCCGCCCCCCTGGGGTGGCTGGGAAAGGAAAGCCTGGTGCAGAGGAGATGGATGGCACAGGGGAGGCTGGCAGGGGGGCAGGACAGAGTGAGGTGGGGGCCCCAAAGACATGGAGAGGCACAGGGCCAGAGGACAGGGCGGTGGGAGCAGGGAAGGCCCCAGTCTTCACCTTTCTTGGCGCCCACCGAGACTGGGCCTGTCCGCTGCTTGTCGTCATCAGAGGCTGAAGAGGCAGTGCAGGAAGAGGAGGAGGCACATTTGCGCTTTGTGGTGCCGGGGAGGTTGCAGCTCTCCAGGTACCTGAGGAGGCACCAGAGGACATGAGGGCAGGGTCTGGGTGGGTCAGGGCTGGGGCCCCAGGCAGAGAAGCTGCCAGGATGGCCTGACCTGAGGATGCTGTCCAGGCAGTTGATCTGCTGGTAGGAGCAACTGGAGGCTTCTTTCCGCTCAGCCTCCTCAACGGCCAAGGCCAATGGGGCCTGGATTGGAGCTGGGGCCGCCTCCAGGTCTGGGGATTGGCAGGGAAGGGTCTTGGCCTTGAATGTGCCAGTAGCTGGTCCAAGGAGAGAGAAACTCCTGGGTTGGGCTGAAGGTCTGGGGACCCCCCCAGGCCTCGCTCCCCACCCACACCCTCGCCAACTCACAAGGGACGCGGAGCCGGGGCAGAGGCCGGGCCCGGGACTCAATAAAAAGCTGCTGCCCCTGATGCTTCACCAGGTGCACATCCTTACAGATCTGCTGGAAGGTCACCTGTGGGACAGGGCAGGGAGTGGGCAGCACTGGGGGTGGCTTGGCCAGCCTCGGGAGCCCAGAGCGTAGTACAAGAGAAAGGCCCCAGTGGGGAGGTCATGAAGAGAGCAGAACAAGAAAGGAAAGGAGTTGGATGATGCTCCCCTGGGCTTGGCAGTGCTGACTCTGAGGACAAGGGGACAGAGGACTCAAGGGCCACTCACCGGGGCAGGAGGCCCAGGTCCCTCGGCATCACCCCCGTTGCTGTCACTGGAGGAGCCAGGGCTGAGGAGAGGGCCGGAGGAAGGCACTGGGCCGACTCCACAGAAGCCCGTGGGGCTGGGGCTGTGTACAGGCTGAGGCAGGGAGAGTGACAATGGGTTAGATGGCCTGAGGCCCTCTCCGCCCTCTTCCTTGTCTCCCAAGCCCCCTCCCCTCCACCCTCACCTGTAACAGCAGCCGGTGGATCTGCTCCGAGAGCTCTTGGATGTCAGAGTCCAGGGACAGAGCGGGGCTGGGGGCCGGGGGAGTGAATACATCTTCATTCAGGGGTGCCCTGTGGGGTGCGGGAGGGGAGCTGAGCCCTGGCCTCTCCACGCTGGCCCGACCTCCAGAGCATGATTCAGTTACCTGCCCACTTACGTGCGTACTTTGTGGCGGCCCAACACAAAGGCCACCTTGCGGCTCCAGGGGTGCACAAAGCCAGCCCAGCTGGTGTCCATGGTGACATACTCCCCGTTACGGGCACAGAAGCGAATAGGCGAGTGGTCAAAGGGCTGGCCGGCCAGCTGCAGGACTGAAGGCCATGGGAAACAAGGTGCAGGTCAGTGGGAGGGAGAGCTAAGTGAGGTGGAATCCCCCCAACCCCGACATCAAGGCACCAAGAGACACAATCACAGAGACAGCCCTAAGGAAGCCCTGGAGACAGCTGGTGAAGTGCGATCAGGAAGAGAGAAACTCACTCTTTTTGTGAATGGCCAGCATGAGGGGTCGGTCCTCGGGATGCAGGAAGAGGAGCACTGGGGCCCCCAGGAGGTCCTGGGGGAGGTAGCCCAGCAGCGGGGCAGCCCTGAGAGGAGAGGGGGTGTCAGAAGGGCCAGAGCCTCAGCCCTGACCACCTCCTTTTCCTCCAGGTCCTGACCTCACCTCTCATCCACGTCCTGGAAGAGGCAGCTGGGCGTGTGCCGTGTGGTGAAGATCCTCTTGTCAGGAGGGATCCGGGGAGCTGAAGCACAGGAGGCGTAGCCATTGGAGCTCATGCAGAATGCTCCAGCTCCTGGGCCTCCATGTGCTGCCTCAGGCCTAGGCTGACTGGCAGATGATTCCCTCCACAGCTCTCCCCTGGGCCCCCTGGCCTCCAGAGACGGTCTGGACCATCTCTGTGCCCCACGCCAATAACGAAGCTGAAAACCAAGGCACTTTTCTTTGCCTTCTCCTAACTTGGAGCTCTTACCCAACTTGACCTCTAAAGGGGTGTTCAAACCCTCATCCTGTTCCAAAGTTGTCTCCCAGACTCCTGTTCTGCCTCACCCCCAGCCTAGAGGAGGCACCCTTCCTCCTACCCCAACCAGGTCAGGCCTGGGGCTGCCCACCTTCATAACCAGAGTGAATGCGCTCTGCAATGAGCAAGCAGCATGGTTGAGCAGGGGCCCCGTCGGAGACCCGGATCTTGGTCACATATGGGGTTAGGCGGAATGGCTGGTACCGAGGCCCCGGATCCCGGTCAGGACCCCCTCTAGCAAGGAAGAGAAAGGGGCATTAGAGATGATCGGTGAAGAGCCACCCACCCTCCAGCTCAAGGTCATGGCTGACCCAGCAAAGAAGAGCAGGGGGATGGGAGGTGGAAGGGGTCTGCTTCCACGTCTCACACCAACCTGATACGACAGAAGACAGACTTCTCCTGAGTGAAGTCCTTGAGGCCTGAACCTAAGACAGACCAGGAGGGCAGTGAGTATGGCTCCCCATCCCCTCCCTGCGCTGAGAAAAACCCAGCGAGGAAAAGCCTGGGTCCCCTGGCCCCTCACAGGAGTTGCTTCCAGGGACTGGTCATCTTCCCCCCGAGCACCTGGGGACCTCACCTGCGGAGGCCCCTGGGCCCCAGGTGGGCAGGCGGGATGGGGTGGTGGAACCGTAGAAGACGCCCACATCCTGGGGAGCCAAGAGCTCCGAGAAGCGGGCACCCCGGAACACGTCCCGCTTGCAGCGCAGCAGGACACCCGCCTGCTCGGAAATATAGACGATGCGGCCTGTCAGGAAGGAGACAGCCACGGAGAAGGTGTCCTAGGCAAGAGAATAAGGATGTACGCAGGTTCAGGAGCTGTGGAAGCAGGGCTGGGGGCACGTCGGGTGCAGGGGCGGGGCGCACTGACCTGGTTTCGGAGTGTATACTCAGACGTGACATGCTCCAGCTCCTCCAGAGTATAGGTGGACATGTCCATGGCACACGGTTCGTCCTCCTCCAGGCTCCACTGCTGGTAGAACTCCTGGTTGGCTGCAGGGGTGGGTGGTGGTTTAGTCCCTCAGTTATGTTCAATTCTTTGCAACCCCATGGACTGTAGCCCACCAGGCTCCTCTCTCCATGGGGCTTCCCAGGCAAGAATACTGGAGTGGGTTGCCATTCCCTGCTTCATGGGATCTTCCCAACCCAGGGATGGAACCCAGGTCTCCTGCACTGCAAGCAGATACTTTAACGATTAAGCTAGAAGGGAATCCCTACTGGGTGTGGGCAGCAGTGCATTTAGTGAGGAGACAGCTCCCCACGGTCACCCAGAACCTGACCATTACACTCCCAGGAGCACCACTCACCTTGCACCTGCTTGACACAAGCCAGCGCATACTGCAATGTGGCCAGAGTCCCGGAGCGGCCCTTGCCCCTGCGCTCTGGGGGCAGCCGAAGCTTGAGCTCTCGTAGTGCCGTCATGAGTTCTTTCTGAGTCCTTGCCCGAGCTGACTGTTCACTGCTGCAGGGCCCACAAGGAGGGAGAGGGTACAGGCATTAGCCCCAGAGCCTGGCCCTCAGTCCCCTTGCCCCCATTCCCACCCCCGGCCCCACAAACCTGCAGCCACTGGTAGAAGGGTTGTCTGGCTCAGAGCTGGCACTCAGGAGGCTGTAGGCAATGGAACTGCTGGGTGGGGATGGGCTCTGAGAGTTCGTGCTAAAGGAGAAGCAATAGGCCCACGATGAGGAGAAAGTGGCTAGCAGCTGGGGCCTGTCTCCCAGCTCAGATGGTTCCAGAGACTACTCCCAGAACCTGCCACACCCATCCAGACACACCTCTTGCTGCTCTCAGTGGTCTCCAGCAGGGCCGAGTCCTTGCCATTGCCGGAGGAGGAGCTGTGCGAACTCCTCTGAGATGCACCCCTGGACTCGGGTCCATTGGACTCATTGCCGCTGGAGCCATTGCTGTTGGCATCCGTGTCATCAGCCAAGCTGGGGCCAGGACAAGGTCGGTGCTCTGGAGGCCCAGGGGATGGACCCCCTCCAGGACAAAAGGGTTCCCCTGGCCTGGGGTCGCCTCCCCCATCAGCCCCTTCTAGGGGGCCGCTCCTGCTCATGTCTGGGCCATGGGGAGGGCAAGAGAACGGGGAAGGTGGAGAAGCCAACACAGACGCTCAAGGGGGCCAGAAGGCCCGGCTAGAGGAGGGAGGTGAGAGACCCAAGCCTCAGAGAGCTGAGAAGTTTGACCACAGTCAGCACCTGAAGAGACCAAGGAGAAAAACCTGGGTTGTAACTTCACAACACCTGTCAGCTTCACTCGGACCCTCCCTTGCAGGGCCCCATACTGCTGGGACCGAGGCTTCCAATAGGCAGCCTGGGCAAGTTCTGTTCCTGTCCCCTTAGCCGTGGCTGCAGGTGGGTTTTCCCCCAACATCCCCTGTCAGTGTGGGATCCCCTGGGATAGATAGAACCTGAGCAGTCGACTAGGACTACAGCTGTGAACCACAGCCTGGATACCTCCCATCCCCAAATTCGCATCAGTTGCCGTCCTCTGCCTGGGACACCAAGGCCTCAGAGCAAGGGTTGAGCCTGCCGCCTCCTATATTTAGGCCTCCGGGCTAATTTTACCCGGGGGCGGTGCCACCTCCGCCGCACATGCGCGCGGACGTGCGCGGCCCCACCACGCGCTTCCGCCGCCGTCGCGGTCGCCAGGGAAACCGACGTCAGCGGCTGAGCTCAGCGGTTGCTGGAGGGCCCACAAGAGGGCGGGAGGGGCGACCCCTCCCCCCTTTCTCAGCGGAAGCAGCGGGAACGCCACCCTCCCACACTGGCAGGCGCAACTAGGGGTCGCCCACCTCTAATACATCCCAGGTTCCCGGAGGCCTTGGTGGCCATAGGAAGAGGGGCAGCCATCGGGGTTTCAGAGGCTGGCCTTGCTCCCCAGGGCAAAATACAATCACCGCCGCCCTCGGCGCAAAAGCCTCGGCCGGGCACTCGCCAGGATCCCAGTTATGCTAGTCAAGACAACACAGCCTTCCCTTCTCCGGCCCCTGCACCCTCTGCCGACCCACAGGACCGAAGCCGGCACCTGCCATTGTCAGGAACCCAGAAATCCTCTCTCCCCACTCCCCTACTTTTCTGTACACTCACCACCGCACCCCCCGCAACACACACACCCATCCGAGGCAGACATACTCAGCTCTGACCAAGGGACACACAATAGCCAGCAGGTAGTTCTTCCCTTCTCCAACCACACCCCCAAGCCCAAAGCATTTTCTGAGCTTCAGGAGAAAAGGGAAGGCTGTGGCCAACAGCAGGAACTAGCACCGGGAACGGGATGTTCCAGCTAGAACCGGGCTGACATCACGGCCGGCGCGAGGCCAGGGATTGGAGGAGGGAGCGCAGGGAGAGCGTAAAGCCCGAAGAGGTCCCGGTGCTGGGGCAAAACCGGGGACCCCAGAGTGACAAAGGCAGCAGGGGAATGCCTGGTGAGGGTCGGGTGTGAGGCCGGGATGGCTGGGAGCCGGGAGAAAGCTTGAAGTAAGGTAGGCAAGCAGGAGTGCGGACGCTCAGTACATGGTTCGAGGAATACCTACGTCCCCGGGGACAGAAAGGGGGTGGACAACCGCAAGCAAGGCAGATTATTGGTGTGCCGTCTGAGCGCCCGGGCCAAAAGCGGTCCATCAGGCTGCAAGTGGCGGCAGTCCGGTTCGAGGCCGAAGACTGGCCACTGTGGTGGCCGCGGAGATGCTTACCTGGCCGCGCGAGCGCCCTCCGGCCGCCTGCCTGCCGCCTTTGCAACCCGCAGCGGAGTGGAAGCTCAGCGGGGCCAGGAGGCGGGTTGCATAACGCCAGGCGCTGCCCCTCATTGGCCTCTTGCCGGTGGAGCCGCAGGCCCCGCCCCCAATTGGCTGGGGATCTCTTCCCGGCGCCTGATTGGCTACTGGCCCCCACTGAGGTCAGGGCTGTGTCACACACACGGGCGCACGTGGATCTGGGTGCTGGCACTGGGCTGAAGGGCCCCAGACACCACAACCCAACCAATGGGCGCAGGACGCCTTGCACAGTAAATAATGGAAGGGAGGGGAGGGGAGGGGAGGTAAGCTGCCCCTATTCGGGGAAAATACCTGGGCCACAGTAGATATTTAAGAGAGGTCTACTCCCTGAACTGACCTGCCCTGCACAACAGGACACCCTGGCCTCGCCAGAGGGTGGGCAGAAAGAATGCAGACCTTAGGAGGTGGGCCAAGCAGGATGAGATGACTGGTCCTTTCGAGAAGAGGGACAGACAGAAACCCAGATTGGCCTTTCCAAGATTCCCCTCCCCAGCCTTGTCGTCCTCATAAAGCCATATCCAATCCCTTGCTCTGACACTTCAAATCCTGTGGACAGCTAAGAGGAGGGCAATTTGAGGTGGGAGTGGAGTGGGGTGATGGATGCCAAACAATGGAAGTGGCAGATAGAACCCAACAGAGGCTGCGAAGGGAAACAATGGCAGGTGCTTCCATGCCACTCAGCAACCTACGTGGTGACCAGTGCTTCTCTCCTGAGGATGCAGCCACCCACAGTTAGGGCTGGCCCCGAAGTGAGGGCCAGGAAGCCAGGGCTACAGGGCAACAAAGGGGGTGGCTGAGAAAAGAGATCTTATACACAGAAAATGTGGGGTGGCAAGGCCTTCAAGTTCCCACCACCAGCAAAAGACAAAGCCAAGCACCTCATCATCTGTCTCCTTAGCTGTATATCCCAGATCCCAGAAGAGAACCTAATACACAGTAGGGTGATTATAAACATGGTGACTTTGTTGTAAATATAGCTAGGGGAGGAGAAGGGACGTCGGCAATAGAGAAGGGGCTGGAAATTATAATTTATTTTTAAGAGGCAAGGAGCAGAACCCTGAATCCTAATTTGGGGGAATAAAGTGCCAGTTTGAGCCGCAAAGAGCTGCAGTTACACAGACCCCCTCCAATCAAGATTGAGGTGTAGTTCCTGTAGGGCTCCCTGGAAACGTGGGTGGCAAGTGAAGAGGTTGATGCTGACGTAATCAGCTGTGGGTGCACACCCCTCACTGTCACGTGGCCTAAGCTCTCCGTAACAGTGGTGTTCCCCATGAGGGGTGGGGGTGGCAGGGCAAGGGTCTGTGGAAAAGCTAGACGCAGGAAGGTTACAGAATAACCCAGAAAAAAAACAAAGCAAGAAGTCATAGGAAATAGAGGGCTCCAGAACCTGGATTCTCAGTATTCTCTCCTTGAAAATGGCCCCCCAACTCTTATACTGTGGTCCAGTCCCTTGTCTCCTTTTCAGACACCTCCTCTCTGGAAATCGCTTTTCCTCTTCTCCCGCACTCCTCGGGGCTCTAGTATGATCTGCCCCGACACAAGCGGTCCTTGCTGTCCTCCTCCACCTCCACATTTTTCTTTTTCGTAGACAAAAAGGTCGCGCTCCAGCAGCCCCCACCCGCTCTCAAGGCCCTAACCAGAATCCTGCCTCACGGTACCCACAGCAACCAGGCCCCGCTGCCGTCAAAGGAGGAGAGGGGGCGGGAGGCGGTGGTGACGTCAAGGCGGAGGAAGGGGGCGGGGCGAGGCAGCCGGGGAATGTGGGGCAGGGAGGCTGGAGAGGCAGTGGTTTGGGAGGCGGCCAGCCCGAGAGGGCGGCGGCCAGTGCACTTGGGAACATCGTGTACTTTTGGCAAGTATCCCAGGACATGCACCCGCCTGGGCGCCTCCCCCAGCCCAACGACAGCCGTCCTGTCCCCAAGCCAGGGATTCCTGGAGAGAGGATTAGGAGGAAGGGGTCCCCCCTCTCTCGCCCCCATGCCTCGCTCTCAGCTCGAGGCTCGCATCCGCCCTCCCCCTGGCTTGCTCCTACAGCTCCTGGCATTGGCGTTACCCCTCTCCCAGACTGTACACATCTGCTGGCCCGGTCCCAAAGCCAGGGCGGGGAAGTTGGAGGCCCAGGTTCTGCAAGAGACCTTTGCTCTTCCCTGAGGCCCCCTTCAGAGCTTTAATCTCTTGTTACTATGGCAGCAGAAAGAGGGAGGAGGGATAGGGAGGAGAGTGGGTCTAGGATGAGGAAATCGAACTGGAAAAGAGCACGTAGCCCAGGCTAGAGCCTGGATCTTGGGAGAGGAATAAAAGGGAAGAATGAGCAAGCCTGGCACCTCAAGACCAGAAGAACCAGGAAGAGGGAAATGGGGAGGACGTCACCACAACTCGGAAAAAAAAAAAAAGCCTTAAGAATGTGAGAATAGTTCCCAACCACAGCATTCACATAAATTTTACACTCTGTCACTGTTATTTTGTCACTCCATAGCCATTTTTTTAACCTAGAAAAAAAAAAAATTAAAGACACGACCCAGGCATTGCACTGAGCACTTTCCATACGTTATCTTCTTTAATCTTCAGAACAATCCTGTGAGATGGGCATCATTATCCCCATTCCACAAGGACCAACTAAGCCTCAGAAATTACTAAACTTGCCTAAATTGCTTCATAATATGTTCTCAGGCTCTTAATAAATGGGGCCCAGGATTTAAATCTGAGCTCTGATAATGGTTCGTAATTCTGGCCTCTTACCCTTCAGGAACCTGTTGAGGTGTTACCAGCTCTGGGAACCTGGGCCTCTCAAATACCCAGCCAATTCTAAGTTTGGTGCCTGAAACCATCCACCCCCTCCTCTCCCTTAGGACATTCAGTTGGCACTCTGCACACACTTCAGATCATCACAGTCCCAGTTTTCACATGCTCACAAAGTCTTTGAGAACACCCTAGCAGCCACCGGCCCCCCTGATTTCCTAGGAACCCCACTTCCTCAGTCTTCCACCTTACGGCAGGTCACTTAACCACAGGCCTGGCCGCTTGTACAGACAGATACACCCTGTAGGTGCCTCCTCACTCGAGGAGCTCAGGAAGACATATGTACAGCCAATCTGCACAAGCCCATTCTCCCTCTCAGGATCTGACAGTGGCAACCTCACGTTTACTCCCAAGAATGGCTCTGAAGCCCAGCCCCTCCCTTTTACACATAAGAAAGACATCTAGAGCTGAGATTTGATTAGCTCAGGGTCACACAAATCACCCCACCTGCAGCAACCCTTTGTAACCCTCCCACCTGCCCTACCAGGGCCTCTCTCCAGCCTCAGAACCCATGCCTATTTCAAGTGCTTTAGGTACCTACTCAAACAGCAGTCACGCTCTGGAACGCCCCCCACCGGCTCTCAGGGGTCCTGTCCCATAACTCCCTGGGAGCAGGGTTCTCAGCTCCCTCAGTTTGCTAACTTCCAAGACCCTCCCCGAGGCAATCAGGGGTCCAGGGACCCTAGGGCGCTGAGGGATCTGATGTAAGGGACTCCCGCTCCCCTCTTTCTAGAGTTGAGTTCGCAGTCCCTATTCCCCCACAACCATCAGAGCTCGCACCGCGGTGATCACGCCATTTGGAAGATCCCTGGAGAATCTCATGGACAGAGGAGCCTGGTGGGCTGCAGTCCAGTGGGTCGCAGAGTCGGACCCTACTGGTTACTTAGCACGCATGTTTCACTGCACTGCAGTAACACCCCTCCTTATAGAACACATCACCATAGAAAAATCCATACCGACCGCCGCTCCTCACCCCCCACGCCGGAGCACTCACCGCTCGGCGCGCACGCCATCGAATTTCTTCCCAACTAGGACCAAGGAGACTTCGCTTCTCAAGGCCGGCCCGCCGACCAGGACGCCACGCCCCTCAAGCTTATTGGCCTAAGAGCGCCGACCCATGCCCCGCGCCGCGTGCGGCCACCGAGACTCCGCACTGCCGCCATTGGTGCCGCCCGCCTCCGTCATCTTCTCATTAGTCAGTTTTTCAACCAGCAGTGACAGATCCACGTGCGGGAGGGGCCGCCCTAGCACGTTAATTGGAAGTCTGATCGAAAGCCACGCCTCCACCCACCTCCGAAGTCTTTATTGGCTGTGGCAGCATTGCCTCCCCCCCGACCTGCCTAGGATCGGTGACGCTAACGCCAGTCCAGCCCTTCCTTTTCTCATAGGCTGAGGTGTCTCGGAGCTGTAGAGGACACGTGCGGGCCATCTCACGCGGCAACTTGTTTACCTAGAAGCCGGGGATTTTCCTTGACGACACTCTGCCCAAAGCCTGTAGAGTCTGCGCATGCGCAGACGTGACCGATGGCGGCTCTGGTAGGGGCACTTTGTGAGCCGTCAGGCGCGTGACAAGAGCGCCCCCGCGCTGGGACTTTGGACCTGGGTTTCTGAAGCTCCTTGAAGCTGAAAGGTGGGAGCCTTAGGGTGAAGCCGTCTTCAGGTCTCAGTACCCTGTCATGATGACGATAGCCACCTTCCAGGTTATTTTTTGTAGGCCAGGTGCACTGCTTACAAACTCGGGAGAAGGCAGCTGACTTAACTTCCTACTGCCTCATAAATGAGACAGAGCCAGAGAAGTTACATAATCAGTCCGGATTAACGCTAGTTTCTAATGGGGTCAAGATTTGGTACCCTTGTATCAGGTCCCTGATAAAGGTGGGTCCTAAGGCCTGCGGTAATCCTAAACCTGTAAATTACTCAGTAGATAAAGGGCGAATAGGCCCTGAGCACTGTCTCAAAACTAGCCCTCAACAAGTGAACATTATGATGACTGTATACCTAATTGCAAGAATCACCTGGCTCCTTTACAACTGCTGAATCAATCTCCGGGGAAGGAGCTTGAAAATCTATTTTAAAATGCGTTCCTGGTAGTTCTTAGAGTCCAGAAGTTTGGGAAACACTAGGTTTCCTGTGCTGTTGAATCCTCATGCTGCAGCCCAGAAAAGTGGGCCCTCCAGAACTTACCGAGCACTCTCCACGTACTATTAAAGTGCCTGTGGGCAGGGACGCTAGGGTGCCACACCATGAGTGATGCATGAAGTCTCAGTGGTAAATTAGTTTAACATAAGTAAGGTTTCAAAATGTTTAAATTCAGTGTGACTGACTTTTTCAGTCTACAGAATACCAAATAGTCTGCTTAACAAATGATTTCATGTTTTTTCTCCAGTGTTTCAGTATCAAAGACAACCAGAGAATCAGAATCATTACTTCTGAAATTTAGAAAATACGGAGCTGGAAGTTAAAGGAGTTCAGTATAGTGTCTAGGGTCACCAGTCCCACAGCAGAGCACAGGAGCAGCAGGCCGTCTAGCCACCAGAGTGCAGGGGTAGCAGGCCATCTGGTCAGCTCCATAACACACTCGGCTGGGTCTCCCTGCGCGGTTTTGTTCAGTATTTAATTCCTTCTGGATGCTGGCACTGTGCTAGTCAGAATGAGGGAGAGAAATTTCATGGTTGCCCATCTACTTCAGGCCTAGGAATAAATGACCCCGGGAGAGACTGAAAGCATCTGAGATTTCAAGTAGAAAGGAATCCAGTAAACAATGGAGTATGCCCTCAGGGAAGGGAGAGCAGGGAAAGCTGGGAAGCCATGCTTCCAGGTTTCCAGTGTCAGGGTTCAACCATGCTGACATTGGGATCATGAACATTTTCCATTACCAACTCCTTGTGCCCCCTCGTGGCCACTTTGAGAATCATACTTTGCCTTTGCCCTGCCCTGCCCAAGGTCAGGCCCCTTGGCAAAGCGGTCTCTTCCAGATGTATCATCTCAACATTCCACTTATACCTGCAGATCCAATATGCTTCCCACTGGTTAAGAAAAGATCTTAGAACACCACCTGGTTACTCATTACACATTTATTGTACATTTTCACAATCTGGATGCGCCACAGAATTGGGGGCATGGGGTGAGGGAAGGGGGGCAGGGGATACTGGGATAATATGGGGGGGTCTAGAACACAGCACCCCCACCCCCAGCATCTCTCCCTACCCTTTCACACCACAGCTTAGATCTCCCTGCTCCCCCTCCACACAAAAACCTCAAGTGTGGGGAGAAGAAAGAGTTTGGGGGTCCCCTCCAGTGGCAGGTTAAGGGAATTCACCCTTAGACCCCTAAAATTGTGCCATTTAAAAAGATATCAGACCGTTCCTTTATCACTTCACCTAAGGGGGAGACAGCTCTCTCTGGGCTTGACTGCCCTGGAGAGGGGCAAGAATCCCCATCTTCCAGCAAGTCCCATTCGCATATTGGCAGTGACTAGTACCCCCGCCCTAAATTCAGAGGGGCAGTCAGAGGAGCTGGGCAGTGATGGGGTAACACCCCCCCATATGAGGGAGGGTTTTCAATCCACCCCCCAGCAGGGGTGGGGCCAGAGATTTCAGGCAGGATTTGGGGGGATGATGCCCTGCCCCATCCTCCCCAAGGCAGTGATGACCCCCCCACACACTGTAGCCACCTCTCCCAAAACAGATCGGATTGTGACCAACCCCCAACTCTCCTGGCGGGAGGAGGAGGAGGCAGATCAGGCAGACAGGAGGGAGGGAGACCCCGTGGGAATGTCAACTGAGCGCCCCACATGAAAACTGGGGAGCAGGAATGTGGGGAGAGACTCCAAGTGGCAGAATTATTGGTCCATCATAACACACTGAACTCCAATACACTTACACACCAGCTGGGGGGAGGGAAAGGAGGGACAAGAGGTTTGGAAAATCGGGTTGGGGAGGCAAACCGGACTAGAGGGGCTGGAGGGGGTGATTCTGGGGGCCAGAACAGCCTGGCTCCCCAAAAGACCAGGCTCCCCACCACCTGCAAGTAATGTCATGCAAATGAAAGTGTGATACAAGGACCAACAGGGACTAAATCCTTAGTAAAAAAGAAACACAGGTTGAAAGACTGAACAGAAAAGTGACAGGAGGGAAAGGAAACCAAAAGGGATGCCAGTAGGCAAATGGATGCTAATTAACATGCTGGAAGCTCCCAGAAGACCATGGGATTCTTAGGACCAAGAGGGACCAGTCTCAGAGTCTCCCAATGATGCAAAGAAAATGCACCTAGGGAAGCCTGGACAGTTGCTTTTTGTCTTTTTTGTACGGGGGGTGGGGGTGGGGGTGGAGGTATGGGGAAGGCCAGGGTAGGAGGAAGGAGCAGCTAAATCCAAGGGAAGGAGAGGAAGAGGGACTATTGCATAGCAGATGCAAATGAAGGGGACTTGGGGTTGGTCAGGAAGAGAGGGAAAGGGAAGGAAGGAAAGAGGAAAAGGAGGTGATGGGAACCTCAGGAAGGGGTGTTAAGGACAACTGGAAAAAATCTTCTAGTAATAAAACTACAAACAGACCAAATATATATAATATTATATATGTATAAATAACAGCTGGCTATTTACAAGGGGGCACACACACAACACACACACATGGATCCGGGGGAGGTGGGGCTGGAAGATATGGCTGAGAGGTGGAGGAGCGGCTGGGGATTGGGGAGAGAGGCCCTTCTCTGGGCAGGGCAGGCTCCTCAGGGGTTTAAGAGCTGAAGTAAACTGTGGAGAGGGAAAGAGAAGGAAGAAGAGGGAGAAGGGAGGAAGAGAAAGAGAGAAAGCAGTGTGTCAGCCCGGCCCTGCTCCCACCTTCCCCACCTCCCAGCTAGGTGACATCCCTTCCCCTCTTGGCCTCAGGTTCTTCATCTGTAAAGCAAGAGGCTACACAGATGGGTTCCAAGGTCTTCTCAACTCCATCATATGGCCTTGGAGCCACAGACCCCTAATCCTCTGAGACCACAGCTCTCAAACAATGGGGTGGGTTTGCTTCCCAGCTGTTTCTCAAGCCCCTTGGTCTCTGCTGCTCTCCCACTCCCCAATTCCAGGTTCCCAGTCTATTATGCTCTTAGGCCTAACAGGGCCTCAAGGGAGCATTGGGGATCCACCAGCTTTCCTGTTTCCGAAAATCTTAACAGAAATTGCCCAGAATCAGGCAAAGTGCAAGCTAAACAACTTCAAGGTTTGGGGCTCTAGATGAATCAGAACTGCTATTGGCAACCATATATGCTTTTTGCTGAATACTAAAATCTAGGTTAATGACCTTCAAAACCCAGAAACCGCAGGGGACCCCTCTCCAAGAAAGAGCCCTAGCCACTCCCACCCTACTCACCGATGATGATAATGAGGATGATGGCGCAAATCACTCCCAGGATGATCATCATCTGGGGGTGAGAAGGAGGCTCAGTGAGACAGACCAGGATACTCCCATTCACCCACCCCTCCTCTTCCCTGTCCTCCCGCCTGCCTCCACCCTTACCTTGAGGTTTTTCCACCAGTATTTGCGCTTGAGCTTGGCTGCACTGGTTTCAAACTGGGAGGCCCCCGCTTGGAGGGCGTCGGCACGGTCGTCCAGCTCCGACAGCTTCTGGTCCCGCTCCAAGACCTTGTCTACGTTCACCCTCATGATGTCTACCACCTGGGGGAAGGGCCACAAGGTAGGGGTGTGTGTGCCAAGGCCCATCTCAAAGGGCACTCCTCCACCCACCATGAGCTCACACAGGGAACAGGCACCTCCATGTGGCATGGCTAACATGCCAAAGATATATACAGAACATGCCTAGCACACCAGAGATATGCAAGGAGTACACAGCAGGGGCATGTGGTAGCCAGACCGCTCATATGTCACAGCAGCACCCTCTATTTACCGAGCCTCAAGCAGCCTGCCATTCACCAGAGCACCCACTCAGGGTGAAACACCCCAGGTTAGCCAGACCAACATCCCCACGGGCCCTCCCGTGCTTGCATGCTGACAAGGACGGGCCATAGTATATTTTCGTACCCAAACATGAACTGCCATCACCCCCCAACCCAAGATGGACCCCCGTACCGGTTTGTCAACCCTCAAGGTCCTTCCCACTGTTTCTGACACCACCAACCCCACTCACCTCATCCACCTGGGCCTGGGTCTGCTGCAGTCTCCTGTTACTAGTGAGGTTTGGAGGGGGCGCAGGAGGGCCTCCCTCCCCAGCCGGGGCGGCAGGGGGGGCGGTGGCAGCGGTAGCCGACCTGAGGGGCAGGGACGGATTAAGAACCAAGGCCTGCAGCCCTTGGCCCCGCAGCCAGGGCTCCGCCCATCCGCCTGTCCCTCCATCCGTCCCTCCCTTCCTTCTAGCCGGGAAGAAAACCACACGATGCGAGCCCTGGCCTCCGTCCGGGCCCGCGGGCGAGCTGCTGCGTGACCTTGAGGGAGGCCCCCTCCCCCTCGGGCCTCAGTTTCCCTGCCTGTCAAATGAGGGCGACCTCACAAGACACGGTCCGGGGGGCACCCGGCAGCGATGACAGACGCGGAGCGGACAGACGGGGGGTCCGCTCCCTCCCGCGGCCAGCCTCCGCGCGGCCAGCCCGGACCGCGGGGCTCTCCTGATGTCCGCGCGCAGTCACGGGCGCCGGCCTGGTCTCGGGACGCGGGGCGCGTGGGGGACGCGAGTCGAGCCCCGGGCCCTTCCCAGGCCCGGGCCTAAGGGCGGCGGCCAGCGCCGGCCACCCGGTGCAGGTGCGAGCGCCGACTCACATGGCGGGGGCAGCGGGCGGAGGACTTGGCAGCGGCAGTGATGGCGGCAGCGGCGGCGGCGGCGGCGGCGGCGCGAGCTGGCTCCGACTGGCGCTGGCTGCCCGGGACGGGAAGATGGCGGCCGCACGTCACCCACATCCGGGCACTGCGGGCGGGGGCGGGGCGCGGCGGGCCACTAGTCGGCCGCCGGGCCGCGGGGGCGGGGCGCCTAGGGCGGGGATCGCGGCCTGCCAGGTGGCGGGTCCGGCGCCGCAGGGCCCCAGCCTCTCCCTCGCTGCCTGCGAACCCTGACCCTTGGGGGTGGGCTCCCTGTACCCACCACGAGCCCACCGGGTCTGACCCCAGCCCTCCCCGTCGTCCTCGCCGCTCCCCTGCCCCTCCGCCCGCCTGGCCCTTAAGGCGCCCTTCAGCCCCAAACACATCCTCCTCCTTGCTGAAAGCCCTCAACCTTTCCGCACCCCACGCAGCCCCAGGTCCCAGCCTGCACCCACATCCCAGTGCGGGTTGAGCAGCCTTGAGCATTTGGAAGGGGCAGGGGGGTGGGAAATCAGAAGGGGCAAGTGCAGGTTGGAGGTAGTGTGAATAGCTGGGATCCTGGGAGTGGTGGGAATTGCTCCTCAACCCTCTGCCTTGCGAGTAGATATCCAGAAGGAAGTCTGGGAACCGTGATAGCAACCCCCTCCTCGCAACTGAGGTTCAGACCAGAGTTTCTTGGCAGGCGAGGCCTGACTGAGGTGGGGCAAGCTTGGGAACCCGGGAGGAGGGCAGGAGGCTGCCCTGTGGAGCCAATTCATGTGGTGGCTGCAGACTGGCCGAAACCTAGCTCTGACCCCGAGTTGAGTAGCTACCCTGGCAGCTGGAAGAGGGCTCAACCTCTGATCCCAGGCACAGGGCTAAAGGACAAGACTTACGCATTTTGTTTTGTTTTTGTTTTTCGGCTTTTCTTTAGCGGGAAGGAGAGTAAGTGGGCAAGGGCGGCACCTGCGGTACCCAGGGACTTGGTACTACTTTACCTAAGGATTAGCCTCATGGGTGTGACATAAACAGCTCCTGTCCTACCTGTAGACCCAAAATTTATTAGGTGTGTCGAGTCTATACCTATATTTGTTAAATGGCTGGATGTAAGACATGGTAGGGAATTATCCACAGCCTGTTCCACACCTGGTCTCTGTTTAGGTCCTCTAAACCGGCTGGGCAGCTCCCACCCACCCACCATGCTCTTTCCAGCAGGAGTGGCCCCTCAGGAAGGAGAGGATGGGTGTAAATGAGCTGCCTGTCTGGTGGGTTGTGACAAGACAAGCCTTAAGAGTGAAGAATGAGGCCCAGTGGCCCTGTTATAGAAACCGTGGCGACAGAAAGAGACAAGCAAAACTCGGAGATGCAGAAGAGCAGGGTTTATTCAGCACTGGTGCAGGCACAGTGGAGTCGCCTCCAGAGGCTGAGCACCTGGGCTTCGTTCTGGGTGTCTTTTACATGGCGCAGGCTTTTGGGTCCTAGTGATTTTCCCGCCTAGGCAGTTTGGCTGACACAATAAGCAGGCCGGTTCACAGAAGCAGAGGTGGTGAGCAGCAATACGCAGGCCAGTTTACCAAAGCAGAAGCGGTGAGCAGTGAGCATGGCAGTAAATTTAAGCAACTATTTTAGTTTTTTTTTTTCCTCTTCATTCCTCCCTCTTGATACTCAGGGTGCATCTGCAGCCTCAGAGAATATCATCATCTGCTCACTGCTGGTATCCTCTTAATATGAAGTGGTCGTCTTTCTTTCAACACCTGTCTCTATGAAACTTTTTACAGTGCTGACTAGGAGGGGCATGAGACAAGGAATAAGCTCGCATCCAGCAAGCATGACCGTGACTACCCTAATTATTGTCTTCATTTCTCCTAGCCAAGAGAACCATCCTCCGAAGAGGCCGTTTATGTCCCATCCCTTCCAGTTCTGAACCGGGACATGGGCAGTCTTTCTGATATTTTTAGCTATGTCTGTTAAGGCCTTTCCATTTAACCACCTTTTAAACTCCTTCCTTCCCAGCCTGGTCCTGTTTCCTGCCCCCATCCGACATCCCCAAATGAGTCTGTCGAGTCCAGCAGGCCATCTGTCTTGGGATGCCATAGCACATTAGGCCTTTCACACTGCGGGCTTTAATTATTTCCTTCCAGTAATGTTTGCCTTCCCTAGTGCATGGACAGGCTGAACTATTAACATGTGGCCAGTTGGTATGTATAGTAAGTGAATCATTGGGCCCGTTTCTCCTCATTGTAGAAAGATTCCATACATTCAGAACAGTCATCCTGACTCTCAGATGAGGAGGGGATTTTACAAATTAACAGAACTATAAGGCAAAAATATGCTGTTTTCATATTTAAGCTGATCACAGTAGGAGGAGACTCCAAAAATTAAAAGCTATGAAGAGGTAGGCAAAGCAGAAGGAAAGTTTTTGAATGATAGTCCACTCAAGGGGAGACACAGAGTAGAGTCCTATTTCAAATAAGTAGGAGGAATCCCAGTCCAATTAATAACCAGTACATCTGTTGTTCCCCAGTCTTGCCAGTTCCTCAAGCTTCAGCCATAACTTTGACCAGTTTACAGTGTGGCCAGAGCAGGGCTTTGGGATCATTGTTTCCTTCTTTGCAAGGTCAGGTGCAGGGGTTCCTCCGGATTGAGGGCTGCTTCCCACTTCCCTCGGCTATTGGTTGGGCCTGCAGGTTTGATTCTGGAGTGATGGATCCAAGCATCTATTCCTGCCACCTTGAGAGCAGTAGGGGTGCTTAAGATTACAGAATAGGACCCTCTCCACATGGGTTTTAAAGGCTGTTTTCTCCAGTCCTTTACCCATACTTGGTCCCCTGGTTGGTGGAGATGTACTGTTATGCCTAAGGATATGAGTATTCTACCAGTTACCCACTCACATATTTGAGAGATGGTGTGTCCTAACCCTTGCAGCTGCTTATGTAGTCCCGCAGTTCTCTGGCATCTCCCCTTAAGCTAACTAGCAGGGGCCAGAGTCCATACAGGATTTCAAATGGTGAGAATCCTAGCCCTGCCTGGGTTGAGCATCTCACCCTCAAGAGGGTCACAGCTAACATGTCTACCCAAGGTAAGCTCATCTGACATAGTTTGGCTAGGGCTTGTTTGAGGGTTCAGTTCATGTGTTCTACTTTCCCTGAACTCTGGGGACAGTAAACAGTCTGCAATTTCCACTGGGTCTTCAAAGCCCTTGCCACCTGTTGTACTGTCTTGGCTACAAATGCTGGTTCATTGTCCAACCCTATGGTCAGAGGCATTCCATATCTGGGAACAATGTCTCTCAGGAGTTCCTTGGTTACTGCTCTTCCTTCTTCAGTTCAGTTAGGAAAGGCCTTCACCCATCCCAAAAAGGTGCAGATAAAAACTAAAAGGTATCTGAATCCTCGACTCAGAGTGATTTCAGTGAAGTCCACTTCCAAATCCTCAAATGGGGATAGTCCACAATGTTAGGTCCCTGCTGGCCTACTAGGCCCTTGGTGAGCTTTGTATTGTAAACAGGTTACACACTGCTGGGAGACAGAAGAGCAGAATGTGGGGAGGCAAGCAATGAGGTAGCACCCGCCTAGCAAGGTTTCTAAGGCAGGCTTGCCCACATGCATCAGTTCATGTTGTTGTTGGACCAGCTTGTAGGGTAGCTGCCCTGTAATATAGACTTGGTGGCCTTGTGTGATCCACCATCCCATCTTGGCCTTGGTTCCTCCTTCTGTTTTTATCCATTTCTCCTCTTTGAGAGAGTACCTGGGGGCAACAGATATTTCCAGGGCTAACAGGACTTTTGGTTTGTCTGGTGGCTGCCCTCAGGCAGCCTGCTTGGTGACTGCATCGGCATGGCATTCCCTTTAGCCACTGGGTGCCCCCTCTTCTGGTGACCTTTGCAGTGGATGCCGGGAGCCGTTATGGGGGTCCCGCCCGTGACGAGGTCATGAAGAAAATACCGGGCAGGCAAGGCCGTCCGGGACCCCATCCATGACAAGGTCACGAGGAAAATACCTGACAGGCAAGGCCGTCTAGGATAAGGGACCCTCTAGGTTGGCCTGGGCCTCTATCCTACCCTATATCCTCCCCCCTTTTTCTGCTGTTGTTCTTATTTGCCCTGCTGCAGATTCTTGTGTTGCCTGCCAAGAGCTCTCCTGCTCCTCTTTCCCTGAATAAAGACCAACTTAAAAGCTAATTAATAAATCTCCTGGACGCTGGTACCCTATGAAGGGGCCAGGGATGAAGGAAATGCTTCAATTCAAACCCTTTTGCTGGCATTCTGGCTTGTTTGATAAATGTGTGCTCTCATTGCACAAAATGCTCATGATTGTTCTAAACATCCTAAGAACAGTACGCTAACAAAAGAAACTATTAAGCATAGGCCCCTTTGCGGGGTGAGAAAAGCTCCACAAATATTATAGCCACAAATGTGCCTAATAGAAAATAGTTTAGATAGAGATTAGCTGGCGACTTCTTGCAGGTAATTAACTTTTAGACTAAGAGCCTGTTTTGTGCCATATCTGCTGTTTTTGAAATCCTTTGCAATTCTGTTCTGTGATAATGTAATCCTATCTAGTTCCCTTGGAGATGACACCTAATAGAAAGAAAATAGATTAACCACAAAAAAAGACAGGGTCAGCTACTGAAGTTGCTTAAAGTTGCACCAGGTGCAAACCATAAATTGTCAACAGGCCTGAAAGCCAAAAGATATTATACATAGAGATTAATCATTAAAAAGGCCCTAATAGGCACAGAGCCCTTTGGGGGGGGGTGAGGAAGCCCTATTAGAAAATACAAAAAATATTGTTTTAAAAGTGGTTATTAGATCAATGTTTGATTGATGTTAATGTGCTGAGGTTGTGCAGTGGAAACTATTGTTAATATAGTTAAAGATATAGTAAAATAAGAGTTTAGCCCTAGTGTAAAAACAATAAGATAATTGTTAATTTTAACCAAGTGTGCTAAACAGGGGCTGCCTCACCAGAGCCACAGAGTCTTTGTGTGTTAAACTTTTTAGATAAATTTAGCTGAGAATTTCTGCAAAAAGACTGTCTTTTATGTTAACAGTATTGTATTTCTACTATGTTACAACCTGCTGTACCATGAGACTGCCACTTTTCTGTTTTCTGCTGAGCTCAAGGCCAGAAGATAATGTACAAAAAGTCTATGGGAAAAGACTCTCATAAACAAAAATATACAGAGAACACCTGGTTTCGTGAAGGACAAGCTGATATAATGTTAAACTAAGTCTGTATGCTTATCTGCCCCTTAGAAATGTACCAACTTAGGGTATAAAGGCTATGGTGAAAAATAAAGCAACTGCCAGACTCTGCTGCATATTCCTGGTCTGATCTTTCTTTCTTTCTCTCTCTCCCTAGCAGACTTGGCCCTATCAAGGCTGGTCCTACGTGTCTCTCTCTCACCGACGCCGTTCATCCTGAGGGTTCCCCTGGATCCTGCCGGGGCTGGACCCCGGCAAATGGACAACTGCTTCTCCCTTCAGTCCCCATATTACCTCTAGGAGCTTCAAGATTTCAGCTTGGTTCTTGATCCCCTTTCCTTCTGCAGTAAGGAGTCCTCTTTCCTTTTATAAGTTTCTGTGAAAATGTAGCAAAAGCATACTGTGAGTCTGTATAAATGTTGACTTGCCGGTCTTAGCTGAGTTTCAGTGCCCTGATTAATGCCCACAACTCCACTCTCTGCTCTGACCATCCTTGAGTAAGTGCCTCTACGTCCACCACTTCAGAGTCAGACACCATGGCATACCTGGCCATTCTTTTCCCAGTCTCCATGAAGCTGCTACCATCAGTATATAGGAGCACATCTGGGGTTTGGAGTGGTTTATCAGTCAAGTCTGGTCTGCTAGAAAATACTTCATCTAGTATTTCTAAGCAGCTATGGTTCGAGGACCCTGCTTCATCTGGTAGGAAGGTAGCTGGATTTAGAGTTTGTACAACTTCCAGTTTTACTGGTGAACTTTCACATAGTAATCCTTGATACAGAGTCATCTGTGCATGCGGAAGCTAATGATGGCCTCTGTTATCTGACAGGGTTACAACTGAGTGTGGGACCTTAACACTGAGGTGTTGCCCCAGCGTTAACTTGTCAGCTTCCCTCACCAGTAAGGTATTGGCAGGTAGTGCTCAGAGGCAGGGTGGCCATCCGGCCGTGAATGAGTCAGTTTGTTTAGACAGGTAGGCCACCGGCTTTTACCAAGGTCCGAATTCTTGGGTTAGGACTCCCAAGGCCATTCTATTCTTTTCATGAACAAAGATGTTGAACTCTCTGGTTACATCGGGAAGTCTTAGGGCTAGGGCCTCAGAAAGTTTTGCCTTAACTGTTTGAAACGCTGCCTCCTGGCTTGGTCCCCACTCAAGGGGGGCCTTTTCTTCTCCCTTTAGAGCCTCATATAGGGGTCTGGCCAAGTCTGAAAATCCGGGGATCCATATCCTTCAGAACCTTGCCACTCCCACGAACTCACGGACTTCCTGGCAAGTGGTAGGGTAGGGATGGGGCAACTGCTTGCTTCCTTTCAGTTCTCAGCATCCGCTGGCCCTGCATGATGCTAAACCTAGATATTTGACTTGTCTTTTACAGATCTATGCCTTTTTATTTGATACCCGGTACCCAGCATCCATTAACAGGGAGAGGAGGGCCTTTGTTCCTTCTAGGCATTAAGCCTGTGTTGTGCTGGCCAGCAGAAGGTCATTGACATATTGCAGCAGGGCACAGTTTAACTCTTGTCCAGGAAATTTAGCCAAGTCAGCGGCCAAGTCTCCGCTGAAGAGAGTAGGGGAGTTCTTGAAGCCCTGAGGAAGACTTGTCCAAGTGAGCTGTTCCTTGTTTCCTGTATGTGGGTTTTCCCATTCAAAGGCAAATAGTGGTCGGCTGACAGGTGTGACCCAGAGGCGGAAGAAGGCATCTTTTAAGTCCAAGCAGGTAAACAATTCAGCTGTGGAGGGGATCAGTCCTAGTAGGGTGTACGGATTAGGCACTGGCAGGTGCAGAGTAAGTGTTGCCTCTTTTGCAACCCTTAGGTCCTTAATCAGATGGTAGTTGTGTGTCCCTGGCTTTCCTACAGGCAGCAGTGGGGTGTTCAAGAGTGGCTGGCATTTTATCAGGAGTCCGTGTTGGAGTAGTCTGTCTAAATGAGCCTGGGTTCCCAGTTGGGCCTCTCAGGGAGTCAAGTACTGTCGCAGTTTTCCAGGCTGAGCTCCCAGTTTGAGATCAATCAGGATGGGGGTGTGATGTTTGCTAGGCCTGGGGGGTTCTCCTCGGCCCAAACTAGTGGGTATTCAGTCTCTAATTCAGGAGGAATGGTCCTCTCTTCTGGAGGGGAGGAATACAGGCGCCGTTCTTCTTCTCTCCATACTGCAAGAGTCATAATCAAAGATGAGGTGGTCCTGTTAATTTTAGCTGAGCTGACCCTTTGGCAGAGAAGGAAATTTGGCCCCCCATCTTGGCAAGCAGGTCTCTTCCCATCAAGGGGACAGGGCAGTCAGGTAGGTAGAGGAATTCCAATACTACCTCATGGCCCCCTAATTGGCATCGTCGAGGACCACAGAAGGGCCTGTGGGTCTGAGCGCCTGTGGCCCCAATGAGAGTGGTTTCGTTTCCCAAGAAGGGGGCTACTTGTTGAGTGACCACTGAATGTTCAGTGTGGCCCCCTACTTGAATTCTGACCATAGGTTCTCAGGGACCCAGTTGGAGACAGCCTGGTCCTCTCTAGTCGGATTCTGCTCCAGCTTGCCTGATCAGATTAGCACTGGGTGGCTTGGGTTGATATTGGCTCGGCAGGCCTGCTGCTCTGGTTTTCTTCTCGGGGCAGCTGGGGCACTCATTTTTCCAATGTCCCTTCTCCTTGCGATAGGTGCACTGATCGCGGCTGAGGGAGTTCCTCTTTCTCAGGTCTGGGCCTCTTGACTTACGAGGTGGTCCCGCCGGGGTGTAGGCTTTGACAGGGCAGCTGCCAAGAGTGCAGCTTTTTGCTTCACCCTCTTTTCTGCTCATTGCCATGCTGTTTGGTCATGATCAACAAACTTTGTTAGCTATTTCTAGCAGTTCTGTGGCATTTTTTCCTGTAAACCCTTCTAACTTCTGTAATTTCTTCCAGATGTCTGATTGGGCCTGTCCCACAAAGGCCACATTTATCATCCATTGGTTCTCAGGGGCTTCAGGATCAAAAGGGGTGAAGGCCTCACACAACCTCTTGTAGAAGTCAGCCGGGCTTTCATCTGGTTTTTTGCAGCACCTCAGTGATCTTGGCCGTGTTGGTAGGCTTCTTAGCCCTGGCTCTTACTCCCTGTAGGAGGGCCTGTCGATACCTTCCAGCCGATTTTCTCCCTCCCTTGGTGTTGGGATCTCAATGGGGCTCTTCTTCTGGGAAAGCCTCCGATACCCAGTTCTCCACCTCTAGTTGACCCCCTGGGGCATTGACCTGGAGCCATTCCGGAGCCCCTGTCACGACTCGACTAGTTTGTGCTCCTCAGCATTGAACAGGGTGAGGAGAAGCTGCCGACAGTCCACCCAGGTGGGGCAGTGAGTCTGGAAAATGGACTCTAGGAAATGCATCGGCACCTGAGGTTTTTCAGAGTATGAGGGAGGTATGATGCTTCCAGTTGAGAAGATCAGTCGTGGAAAACGGTTGGTGGTAGAAGACAGTTCTCCTTCTTGTAGAGTCCCATCAGGGGCAATACACTGCAGTCTCTGGGTCTCTCTTAGAGGCATTTGAAGTGTTGGGGCAGCTGCCCCTTGAGCCGACCAGAGATGTTTGCTCACTGGCCCCAGGGTGGCTGGTCGTCGGGGCTTCAGGAGCATCAGGAGGAGGAGGTGAAACGGAAGACGGTGAACTGTCTTGCTAAATGTGGATCAGCTGCTCCAGGCAGGGGAGCTGTAGGGACGTAAGGTGGGGGCATTGGAGACATGTCTTCAGCCTCGCCCTGGAGGATAGGCAGTTCCTTTTTCTGGCATGAAGCCTGTTTTCCGATTGAGCCACAAGAACCTTACATTGCCCCTGACTTGTCATGCAGAACCGAACCCAGGGAGGCCTTAGCTGGGCGATTTCTAATCATTGGTCAATATATGGAAATTGGTCTGAGTGGCCAGGGTCTTAGGTCACAACTCTATATATTGCTCGGACAGTGGGCACAGTGTCAGACAGTTGGCCATCCGACACCAAAGGAGGGCCACTCTAGGGTACAATGAGTGTGCAGCTTTCCAGGGGTTAGTTTCACACCATATTCTCCAGAGAATCCTTTGTTAACATTTTTAATCATGCATTCTTAAACAGTAGGTTTTGAGGTGGAACTGCCCATTATGTGAGAGTTCTCACCCTGTTGCGGTGCCCCACAATGAACAAAGGGAAACACTCACTTTTGTCTGCCTGGCCGCTCCCCTCGTGGAGATCTAGGCTCCTCTTAGCAGCAGGTCAGTATAAGCCCCTGACTTGGACCAGCCTCACAGGGAGGGTTTAGATCCCCCAGAGACTGGCGCTGCCCTAAGCCGTGTGAGGTCACCGCGGAATCACAGGTTGGAACTGACCCAGGCTCTGTAGTTGAAGACAGTGGAGCATGGGCTCTCATTCAATACAAGCACACATCCACTGCACACCAGGATTAACAGACCACCCAAGGGAACAAATCTTATTCTGAGTGACCCTCCAGTCACTGGGAGGTGATCAGGCTCCTCTTCCACCATATGGAGGGCTTGACTCAGGCAGATTTCCCCGGGGCACTCACCCGTCTGACGTCCCGTTCTGGAACCCACTCTGCTTTCCTAAGTCTGTGCGGGAAGTGGCGTGAGCCATGGCCGATGCAGCCTGTGTGAGGCTCAGTTTAGTCACTCAGTCATGTCTGATTCTTTGCGACCCCATGGACTGCAGCACACCAGGCTTCCCTGTCCATCACCAACTCCCGGAGCTTGCTCAAACTCATGTCCATCAAGTTGGTGATGCCATCCAGCCATCTTATCTTCTGTCGCCCCCTTCTCCTCCTGCCTTGAATCTTTCCCAGCATTAGAGTCTTTTCCAGTGAGTCAGTCTTTGAATCAGGTGGCCAAAGTATTGGAGCTTCAGCTTCAGCATCATTCCTTCCAATGAATATTCAGAACTGATTTCTTTTAGGATTGACTGGTCTGATCTTCTTGCTGTCCAAAGGACTCTCTCAAAGTCTCCAACACCACAGTTCAAAAGCATCAATTTTTTGCACAGCTTTCTTTATGGTCCAACTCTCACATCCATACATGACTACTGGAAAAACCATAGCTTTGACTAGATGGACCTTTGTTGGCAAAGTAATGTCTCTGCTTTTTAATATGCTGTCTAGGTTGGTCATAGTTTTTCTTCCAAGGAGTAAGCGTCTTTTAATTTCATGGCTGCAGTCACCATCTGCAGTGTGAGGGCACCTGTCTGTCACTGGGCCAGTGATTCCTCTGGTTCCCTGACAAGGGTGGTACAAGGGACCAGCTCGGTTGTTGTTTCCCAGCCAATGCACCAGAAAATGTTATAGAAACCACGGCAATGGAAAAAGACAAGCAACACTTGGAGATGCAGAGCAGCAGGGTTTATTCAGCACCTGTGCGGGCTCAGAGGCGTTGCCTCCAGAGTGCGGGCTTCCCGGTCCTAGTGACTTTCCCACCTAAGCAGTTTGGCTGACACAATAGGCTGGTTCACAGAAGCAGAGGTGGTGAGCAGCCATTAGCAGGCCAGTTTACAGAAGCAGAAGCGGTGAGCAGTAAGCATAGCAGTAAATTTAAGCAACTCTAATTTTTTTTTTTTCCTCTTCAGCCCAAAGCGGGGGTAGGTTGCTCACTGCATTCCTGAGACAAACAGTAGCTTGCTTCTCCCCTCCCCGACCCACGCTTCCCAGGGCCTTGGGGTATGACAACCTCCCTGGAGCTGCACCCCACCCCCTCCCAGCAGAAGCTTGGGACTGGCTGTGTCACCAGAGGTGTCATTTCCCAGCTGTCTGGGGGAGGTGAGTGAACCGGGAGTGTGTGTTGGGTGTGGGGACTCCTCAGATCTAAGATAAGATGCTCTCAGCTCCCTCCCTGTGCCTGGTACAGCCACTTCCCTGGTCCTCAGGCCCTGACACGGAATGTCTGGGTGGCTCAGCCTCTGTGAAAAGGAAGAAAAGAGCAGCTCCCCTGATGGTCTCAGATGATGCTGTGGGAGGATAGTTCGTGCTCTTTGGCCCTGCGACTACTCTACTTTCTAGTCAGAGAATAAAGATACCAAATTTCAGGCTTTTAAGTTCCTAAGCCACAGCCTCTGGGTCTCAGGTGAGGTTGAAAGGAGGTAGAAACAAGCAGAACTCCCCACCCCCACCCAGCCTCAGCACCCTACGCTAGCAGGGGAGCAGCTAGTGGAGGACTAGACAAGATGTTAGACACAGCTTTAGGGGTCATTCTCATTCCCGGACAGCCAAGTCCAGGGGATAAGGAAGGGACAGAACTCAAATACACTGGGGGAGCCAAGGCCATGGGGTGTGGCTTGGAAAGCTGGCACATTGCTCTTACTGTTGAATTCTGGGGACAGCAGCAGCAGGATAGAAATGAGAGCGCATATGACCCACAGAGGTGGGGACCCAGGACGATTTATCAGGAGGAGAGGACTCTCATTGAGCAGGCCTCCCCACTCACCCCATCTATGCTGTGGTGCTAAGGAACTCCCCAAATTTAGATCAGTGGTGGAAGCAGGAGGAGAGGTGGGGTGGGGAGACTGAGTTCACCTGGAAATGACTAAGAGAATGTTTTCTGCAAGCAGGTAGAATGGAGACCCAAAATAGAGACACACTGAACCGAAAGAAAAATCAATATATTCGTATTAAGTGAGATCTTAGCTTCTACATTCACCAGATCAATCTCCAGGCCCCATTCCCAGGGCTCATTCAAAAGATGTGGGAGGAGGCCCAGGGTCACTTCTAACAAGCACTTCCAATGGTTCTGATGTAGGCGACATGGAGGAGACCTTTAATAAAGGCTTAATAAATGTTTTCTTTTATGGCTTTTTCCTCTTCTAACAACTGACTTTGAAGTTGGGGTTGAAGGAGGCTGGGTCATTGTCCCACTGACTCATGAACTTGCTACATCCACATGAGTCAAACCTGACCAAACTAGTAATTCATTTCAGAGACACTGTGTGTCCCTCAACACAGCATGTATAGAAAAGGCCTTCTAATCTGGAGTAGGAGCAGCATGCCTGAGGGAGCACTGCCTAGATTGGGGACAAGGGGTCAGCCCCACCACTCTCACTATCAGCTTCTCAAACCTTGTGACCTCTGACTTTGCCCTCCAATCTGGAAGACTCGGGGCTGCCTACCAATCCCTGGGTTCCTGGAGGGAAGGGAAACTACCAAGTACCTATTGCCTGTGAGGAACTTAACGTAGATTACCACCCACACTCAGTCTTAATTACACAAATAATGTGACTCCATTCTCCTCAAGAAAATATTAGAACACTAATAAAAATAAATGAAAAAAAGAGAAAATATTAGAACATAAAGACATAGACATAAAGACTAGACATAAAGCTGAAGTCCTCTTCAATGCCCCCCACTTTGTGTTTTTGTTTTACTTTCTGCAAGTGTTCATGTATTCCTTCTTTTGGGGAAATAAGTTTTCTTGTTATATATTTTTTTTCTACTGTTCTATATCCTTAAAGATAGATGTTGATTATCTTTTTAAAAAATTTCCAAAATGCAAGATCCTCTCACATCTCTCTGCATCTATCTTTTAAAAATTCAGCATTATATTGTAAACTAAGTACTTGGTAACATTCAAAATATAAAAGGTACAAAAGAATGTACAGCCAACCTTTGTCCTGAGCCACGCAATACCCCTACTCCACACAGCTGCTGTCTCCAGTCTTGTAAATCCTCCAGAATGGTCAGTGCAGGGACAAACACAGACATAGACATAGATACTTTTCTTTTGAAAAATACAAATGTTATCACACTATATGATTGAGTTTCCCTCTAATTTTCCAATTATAGACATTTTTTTTTCTTGTGCTCCCTAGT